TATCGTAACGATATTTGAATAATTTTAGATAAAAATTAACCGATATGCAACATATTTTCCTAAAATCTTCAGGCTATTAGCTTGTTTTTTTTACTATCAAATCTGTTATAAGCTATCATACTATCAGCCTGCTATCATATAGGCCGATTATTTGAAGATATAAGGATATTATTTTTGATTTTGATCAGTGTGATTAAATTATATCTAAATTCTAATAATCCTTCAAACCATGATATTGAAAAATTCATTATCGGCACTGTATAGAAGAAACCTCTTAAGAAGCATATTGATATACTTGATTATGATACTTTCAAAACTTAAAAATCAGGAGTAAAAGCATTAGAGGCTCTTATTGCTAGAAGCCTCAAGATCTATGTGGAATATTTAATAGCAGAATCTAAGAGAGAAGACTCCGATTACATTTCCGTGGTTTTAAATAATATTAAAAAACTAGATTATATTACAATAAATACCATATTTTCAGCTGCAAGCCATTTCAGTATGCTAATCAATTAGACTTAGGGAAGAGCAAGAAAGGTTTATAAAATAATTAAATAACAATAAATATATTATTGTAAATTGGTAAATCAAATTCATGTTATATAAATTTTATTAGGTAAAGATAAACTAACAAATAAAACATTCGCAATATTTAATACAGCAAAATAATTATTAAGTTGTTAACAGAGGTTTCTTTAGTAGACACTTTTATTCTTTATTCTTAGCTTAGATTCTCATGCATTTGTGTTTAGACATGAGATTTTAAATAGAATTGCATGTCGTATTGTTATACATATAACTCATGTGGTGTTATTTTAAAATAAATAATTATAGTGGCAATCTTGATATGATTTGTAAGGTATATAGCATAAAAATACAAGATCATTTTAATCTAATTCTTTCATCCTCTATAATAATTGTGTGTAACATATTACTTGAATTATGCAGTGCAAAAATAATCAGCTTAATACATATATATATTTAAAGAATGACATGCATAAATTCATAAAATAGTCATAAAATACTTTTAAAGCTTATTTAACTATTCTTATAATAATTGGGATTATGAAGATGTGCAATAAAACAATAAATCGTACAATTAACTTTTTAATTAAGCATGATAAGTACTAATATAATTATAGAATCCTACCTTACTTGTATCCTTTATTTGACATAAGTAAAGACCATTAAGATACCATTTATAGTAAATAGTATATAAAAACAAAATATACTCTTTATTTCCTTTGATTCCTTTAATAATATATATAAAATAAATTTACAATACTTATGCATATATATTATTTTTAAACTCTACTCAAAATTTTGATCAAATCAGTATAAAAAAAAATGCGAAAAAAAAATTAAACTTTCTTGAACCTTTTCTTTTTTTTTTTCTCATATATTCAAAGCAAAGCTTAATATCTGATTAATTAAAGTGCATTGGATCAAAGTTATTCTCTTCAGTTGTCTAGTTCACAAAATTGTTTCCTATTTAGTGTATTCATTTGTTTCATATTTATTGCCAAACATACTTTATTGATTGAAAACACACTTTTGTTTGTTTCATATTTATTGCAGATATACTTTCTTTTGTTTCCTATTTATTTCAAACTATATTTTCATTTGTTTTCTATTTATTCATATGTTTTCATATAAAAATAGATTCAAAAAAAGCATCTCACAACAATTGTATGATTTATGTATGTGTTCCAAAAAAACTTACTTAAATGACTATATGTTCTCTGACAACCTGAATCACAATAATTTGAACCCATAAATTTGTCATGCATTGTTTAATAATGAGCTTAGTGACAACAGTTCAGATATTAATAACCAACAATTTGAGCTTGATTATAATAAAATTAATAATGATCAACAGTCTTACTATAGAAATATTGATCAAGAATATAGCATAAGTAGTGGCAGTTTGTATGATATAGACAATATAAAATTTGAAGATAACTTGGATTATGATAATCTAGAAAGCATGTATAATGAAAATGAGTTTAGTAATAATATAAATGATAATAGCTTAGATGATAAAAGTGAATCAATATCAATTAACACCAAAAACATTTGACAGGATGAAATCTGATATAAATTAGAATAATGAAAGTCCATTTGGTTTTTTTGAAAATTTCACAAATATGGCTATATTCATATAGATCACTAAGTACATAATTTGTAAGTAATTGACTTATTATTTATTTATATATCAGAAATATATAAAATTGAATAATTTATTGCTTTTTTAGCGACTGTGGCATATCAAGACTTAATACAATATTGCTTCATCCTTGATTCGAAAAAAAACATTTAACTACTAACTTACAGTGTCTTAAAAAACAATGTGAATGATTACCATTAATGAAAATTTAGTATCATATGGTTCTGATAAATACTACAAATACACCATCAACATCAAAAGATTCTACTAGAGTCTATTATTTTTCTTTAATTGAATATATTCAACACATATTAAAAAACCTATCTCTTAGTTCCTATTTATATTTTGGGTCAGGCATTTTTTTGGAATCATGCGAAGAATTATGGGAAGGGGATCTCTAGGCTGAATCACCCCTTTTCAGTCTACCAAATTAATTATGGAACAAGGTATTATTATATTAGTCTTATCAACATTTTTTTATATTTAGACAACTTAAAAAATAATTTTTAATAGATACATTTAATTGTAGGAATTTTGTTAAATATCGTTTAGCTTCAGAAACTATTGAAATTGGTAGAATAGGTTCTTTTGTTATTGTGGATAAAAAAATAATAACATGAATGCAATGATTATATTCTTATAAGCAAGTTCCTCAATATTTACGTTCAAAGCAACATTCTCCACACTTATCACAAGAATTGTATTTAGTTAAAGAATCAGAGCCTTTTATTATTGATTCTTCAAATTTAATCAGTTGTCTCAACATTTGGCTCTGGAATCTGCCTGTTCTACCTAAAGTTGATTTCTTTGTTAACAAAAATATTGTATAAATATAATAGCTAGTAGAAGTTTTATTCAATCAAGCTATACCATCAGCATCCATCTGAGCGCGTATCTGTAACCTAACTAATCAATCCAAATATACCTATTCTTAAGTTCTATTTAGATTTATATCATAATAACTTAGGTACCTTTAGAAATACCTATCATTCTTTAGGTGGAGTTTATCTCCAAATTGGTAACTTACCACAACAACTTAGAAAACAATTATGAAATCATTTTATAATTGGACTAGTACTATTTGAAAGAAGTTTTAAAGATTTTATAAAAGTTTTTATTGAGGAGGTTTAACAACTCAAAAAAGGTTTTTTAATGAACATAAATGGTGTTGATTGCTGGATCTCAGATAGACTAGCTATGTGACTGTAGATTTACTGCAGAGGAATGATATTGCAGGTGTGCTACGCTACAATACCAATTTTGGTTGCTGCAGCTGTAAAGCTTCCAAGAATAAATTAATGAATATTACATTTGACATATATTCCAACAGATAATATTATTAGTTAACCAATTAGGAATTCAAAATTATAAATGACCAACACATGAATTCTACATGATTACAAATTTCATCAAAATATGAGTTATGAATAAATGCAATCTTGAGCTTACATTACTTCGGCAAGTTAATACTTTGCAGACATTGAGATACTTAGCAAATGAAGATATAGATAATTATATAAGCAATATAGCTCCACAATTATTTAAGGAGTTAATTATTGAGCCACAATTACGTCACCTACTATTGGGTTGGTATATTGACAATAGTAATTTTTTAATACACACTTCTCAGAAATTTGCTAAAGATAATAAGGAATCTAACTTGTATATTAATGTTAAATGATTTAAGGGATTATAATTTAAAAGTATATTTAATCAAAATTGAATATTAGATGATCTTCCCGAGATTAATAATTTCACAAGCTTTAATTATTCTGAAATCAAGCTTGGATCAAGGTGGGATAAAAAGAAAATTGAAAGTACCGAATTCATTTCTGATGATCTTGAAACAAATAGATTTTTAGAGAGCATTATGCATGTATATTCTTCATATTTCTCTGCTGAACAAGCACTATTAAATACGAAAATTAGATATTATCAAAATGTTTCTTATTCAATAGTTGAGTCTAATGGTAATTATCAAAATGTAAAATTTTGTGTTAGTAAAGCTATTAAAACCACTCTTATTGATGACAGACAACCAGCATTTGGGATAGTCAAGGGGATAATTGAACATAAGTGGAACAGCAATCAAGTTTGTGTATTTATATATTTAGAATGGCTGGAATACCTTAATAAATTTGATGATTTATTAGGCTGTCCTATTTATCATCTTCAAAATGCTTTAAATAATTCTTGAGATCGAATCCATCTAATTTCCATTGTATCAAACTCGTCAGACACTCCATTTGTCTACAATTATAAATCAAAATGTTTTTTACTACAGCATGATGTTATAAATCAGAAATATATTTGTAATAACTTTTTTTTACAGCTATTTAAGAAATTGAGTTTTGAAGAAGATTGCTTTAAATTATTATAACAGTGTTATTGGTGGACTCTTATTAAAAAATGCATATTTCATATTGATTCCAGTATTTATTTATTATTTATTTATTTATTTTTTTTTATTTTAAAAAATTTCTGATATACAAAATTTGTAACTCACATTTAAATAAATATGATTATATTTACATGAATTACTTTTTAGTTATTCAGATTTTAGTTTTAACTTTTGTATTTTACAAAGTTCAAAAGACCAAGTCATCAACAGAATATTAATAAACTCGAACAAAACATAGCATATCTTGATTAACTAGATACTCATCATTATTAGTAGAAATTCAATATTTCACTAACAGCTCGATGCAAAGCTCAAGAAGAGTTCAATAATATTGCCAGATGATACATGTAATTATTACGATAAATAGCGGGTTTTGTTTGAAAAAAAATAGAACAACTTAAAAAATTTGGTCAACTTACAACACCATTAACTATCATATGAGAAGACTTGACAATGGCCCTCATCACATAGAGACAACAAATGGAATCAACTTCAAAAGACTGAGATAAAGGAAAGTGATTAAATGTATCAAAATTTAAAAATTATTATAATAACATTAAAATTTTGTATCATTACAGAAATTCGAAGAAATTACACTCTTAAAGCATCTAATCTGAATAATAAAGCATTCAATCATGCAAATAAAAATGTAATTTGCTGGTAAGTTATTTTAAAAGAAAATTAATTACTCTTCGTACTCTATATATTAAATTCAGATTTTTATTAAAATTTCTAATTAAATGGCTTATCATTTAATATTATCAAGAATTAAAGCTAAAAATTCGATAAAAATAATATATCTTTCCTTCAATTAGTTTTCACAATATAAGGATAAACAACGAATATATGAAAGATTTTATATATATTTTTCAAAGATCTTGTTTTTAATTTAGCTAACAATAATTTAAATCACTAGCTTATAAAATTAAGATTCGTTGTTGCCAAATAAGGATAGTGAAAGATATTAAATATTAAAAAAAAACTTAAAATGGGTGATACTAATAGAACTAGATATTTATTGAATATTATATTTATTACTGAAATAGAAAAACCGAAATCTAACAAAATGTGTATATTAGTGAAATACTTAATATTGGAATTGAGAAAGTTGAAAAAAGACAAATAGTCATGAGATTCATCAAAGTGTGATGTCGATAGAACATTATGACAGAAATAGTTATAAAACTTACAAGTGGGATACTAATAGATGTTTAGTGTTGGATAAGAACATGGTTTTTGAAGTTTGAGAAGATGGAATTGAAAATTATGTGCATATAAGATATTTATTTATATGTGTATATAATTAATTATATATTACAATTATTTTCATATTATATTACAAATAAATGTTTATATTATAACTCTTTCTGTTTATCACTTGTACACAAAATTTGTCTAAACTTTTTCATGTTTTTATCAATTTATGCAAAATTTTATTAAGTTAACAATCACTTGGCTCTTAAGTAAAGTTGTTCAGCTATTGTTTTACATATATTTATAAAATTTTAAGTCTTTATCTCTTATCGTTCTCGAGATATTTGATTTATAAGAACAGACAGACAAAACTCTGTTCTCCCCCCAAAGCTTTGTCATTTTTGGCAAACTGAGCTTAATAACACACTGAAACCACATAACTAAATTTGCAGAGCTCATCTTTGGCTTCAAAACAAGCTATAATACATTAATTTTGACCTAAAATTGATTATTCTAGGATCGAAAATATCAAAACTCCCTTTTTTTACTTTTTAGATTTTTAAAAGTTCCTTCCTAGTTTACCCCATCAAAATCGTTTTTTGTGTAACATTCGGACCTGTATTTCCGATTTGTTTACACCTGACCATACTAGAAATATAATCAATCCTTTTTGGGCAATCCATTTTACAATCAATTTACACAAATTAATTACTTTATTTATTGTTTATTCTATAATTAACTTAGTAATGTTACCTAAATTTTACCCAATTGTGCAACTTGTGTAACATGTGATCTGTATAACATGTGACTTGTGTAACATGTGACATGTGCAACCTTAGACTTCCTAGGTTACACAAGGTTACATGAGCTGCAGTAGCTATAAAAACACCACCGTAAATATACATACTTTGTAACAACTATCTAAGCTTAATATTTTTAAATTTTATTAAGGAAAACTTAACTAAGTCTTTAAGCAAACTTATAGATACAATTCCCACCTTAACTACTGTAGAACCTGATACTGTATATCTTGACTATTTTTATAAAACATTCCACAATAGTTTCAGTATCAGAATTTATAAAGATTCTTTAAACATCCCTAGACCTATTCCGGCAAATAAAAAACCAACTGAATGTATTTTTACAGAACTTAGAAAGATAACTAAAACCTGTCATTATTTTGAGGCCCCAGCAATCACATCTATTGTTAAATGTCTAAGCAACAAATTCCATATCTACTTTATTTCAAAAGAGAATAAAACATACAAAAAACCTACTAACATTCAAATTGTTAGTAAAAAAGAAAAAGAAGAACTCATTCTCAAAATCGCTGACGCTACAGCATTGGTTCCTCCCTCTCCAACCTCCTCTCCAACCCCAACACAACATCAACACATCTGTCCACTCTGTAACCAACCTATTAATTGCAAAGTTACTAATAATCGACATCAGTTAGCAAATGATACTATGCTATATGATAATAAACCATATCACAAATCCTGCATAGAAAGTATCTCAGACCCACATTGTAGATCCTCTAAAGATACATAATTTTTTGCAAAACTTAAACAATCTCTTTATGATTTTTATACATTTAATCCTTTAGCTTCAGAACTTGGTTCTCTAACTCTATTAAAAGAAACTTCAGCAATGGAATTAGATGATGAATCCTTCAATAATAATAATTTACCTAATATACAACAACAACAATTATTTCGATAATCAACTACACTATCCCAAATATCCAATACCCAAGCACAACAAACACTAGAATCACAACAACCTGTAACACAGTCACAACCAACTAGCAAACTTATAACCAATACTAGACACCATAAAGTTTAACTAACACAATCTACTACTTCTAATACTATTAACAATAATACTTCTCAAGCACAATTAAACCAAAACACTACTACACATCAACAAGAATCAAATACAAATCTCCAACAACTTCAACAGCAAGATAACACATCAGCTAAACAACCTTCATTACAGACAGAAAATACCTCTTCTTTACAACAACCCCTAACAGAAAATACACAACACCAATCTTCAACTACCCTAAATGATACAACTCAAAATATAATGCAACAAGATGATTTAAATCAGCAAAATACTAACTCAAATCAAACTACTGACCCAAACAAACCTACATTTGACTAGTTAGCCAACTTTCCAGTTACATTAGAAATGGAAGAAAACACTAAGCTTCAAACTGAATTCGCTCAAAAAATCTTTCTTTTTCTTAAATCACACTTATTCACTTCTATCCTGGCAAGAAAATCAAAGCAGCAACAGGAAACCACAAACCCCTTAAAGCAAGTTTCTATCAAATTATCTGCAAAATGGCAGGAGAAAGACCACAATTTCTTATAGACTTTATACGACAACACAACTCAGATGTTGACAAAACTTTTACCATTCTATTTTCAGTTCTAGAGGAAACACTCAAAAAACTTATTCTAGTTTTTACAACTATTCTTTTCACCAAACTCAACTATCCAGTAATTTTTGCTTTGCCAGCTACAATTCCACCATATAAATCACAGAATCATCTACAATTCTGTATTAACCTTGCACGTCTACACTTATACCTCTCAAACAACTATCAGACAATTAATTATGCTAAATTTGCTGAAGATAAGAAATTACGTCCTAAACAGTTCAAAATTACTTCACAAATTATCGATTTTGACAAAGATGACAAATATCTCAAAATATATATGGATAGCAAATTCAATATCCAACTTAATTTTAATATTTCCAAGACTCTCTTTTTACAAAAATTCAATATACCATCTCTTAAAAACTTACTAGACCACTTTAATAAATGGTTTAAATCTATCTTCTCAAAATACAATTGTCAATTCAATGATACTCTTGATGAAACAAAAGTATCTAACTATCTTTAATACCACTTTAGACAGGCTATTATCTCACACCTCAAAGAACAAATTCCAACAGACATTATATTTACAAAACCCCTCACCTTTCAAGAACATCGTGATAAATGCATTAAACATGCTAATTATTATATCTTTATTTGCTCAAATGCCCAATACCAATACCAGAAAAAATTGAGC